GGGTTATAGGGTTCTTCGTGCTGCCTTACGTCTTCAGGATTTTCTCAAAGCCAGCCTGGACATTTCCTATGTAATAAATCCCCTCTTTAAAGCCCACACCAGTCGCACCCTGTGTTTAACTATAGAATGAGGGAATGAAATGTGTTGAAGGCCGGGTGGAATTTTGTTCCACGTCTGTTCCATTAGACAGTTTAGCAGATGCAGTTGCTTTTTCGTTCCATATTGCTACTAATGTCATACTTTTGTCTGACATTAATATCCATATTTCTTTTGTATTAATCTATTCAGTTTACATTACAAGAAAAACTCTGTAGGAACAGAAATTGATTTTCCTGATTAGCACAGGATCTGGCCATAGTTCTGACACTAGAAATAGTGAGTGATGGAAGCAATAGCACAGGATGTGGCCTTTGTGAAGGCATCTCAGCTGGCACAGTAAGTTACAAAGCATCAGCATCAGAAATGTTTTCTCACTCACTTGAACGGTTTCTCTTTCCCACAAACACCTGTGAAGTCCTGCCTTTCTTTCTTTTCCTTGGAGCTTGTGTTAAACTGCACTTGTTGCTGGCATTTACATTCTGGGTTTTTCTGGAAGGAAATGAATGGGTCTGGTACACACGTGAAAGCAGATAAACGAAGCATCACGTGTGGTGTCTAAAATGATGTGTCTGCTCGTGAACATGCATGCTGCCTTTTTGAATCTTGAGATCAAATGTGGCCCGGGGTGGTTGGGTCTGACACGTTTCTGGTCAGAACCGCTGTGAGTAGGGTTGTGTGAGTGCCTGCACTTGGTGAGAACGTGATGAGAAAATTGGATGTGAAGTCTGCCCATAAATTTGATTTATATCTCTGTCTCATCCTTTCTTGGCAATTATTTCAGCAGGCCCCAAACAAATAGTCACACATCTTATAGACACAGTGATGGTCTGATGGTTGGTTGTTCACACTGTCACCAAACCCCAGCTGTCTGTTTTTAAGACAGCGAGGCAGAGCTGTTGCTCAGGTCCTTCTGCATCGTTTGTTGTAATGCAGTAAACTGTAAATGACAGCATATCACTACTGCAACCTGCTCTCCTAGGTTTCGATTTTTGGAACTGTGAAGCAAGAGCTGCAAGATTTTGGAGGCTGATTATAAGGAGAAGTTAATTGTTATTTCTTACATTTTAATCTGCTGGGTAAGTTAAAGCAGCCAAGAAGGAGATCTAGGGTAGAAATGGTATGCAGTTACACACTGACAAATCTCTACCTGTCCTCTGTGGGAAAGCTCTTAAAATGTTGCTTGTTGTCTTCTGCTTGTTATCTGAAATGCTACTGGAGGCAGCATTTTGTTTCTCACTCCATGCTGCAGCATTCTCGCTTGTCTGCACAGCTGACCCAATCCTGAATGTCATCAGGGAGGAGGTGTTTAACTTGTGACACCACTAATCCTTTCCTTGAGGCTTTTTGTTTGTCCTGCACAATGTCCTCCCATTGCTGCTATGAGCTGGGACGTTCTCAGCCCAGCAATGAATTTGTGTGACTGTATATGCACTCAGGTCTGTTGGCTTTAACGTTTAAGATTGGTGGCTGCTTCAGTATCGCACTGAACTGGGACCCGAGGCATTTTCATGTGTACAGCACTGTGCCTTGCTGCAGCTCTCTGCCCATGGGCACAAGGCGCTTGCTGCAAGTGCCTGGCTGTGCGTGGGGAGCATCCCAGCATCCAGCCGAGGCCTTGTCACAAACTGAGGAAAGCTGCAGCTCCTGGTTGGTCCGTATGTGTGTCTTCTCCTCGTGCTGATGCTCGTTTCTACGTTGCTGATACAGATGCACTGGGATAGGGCTGTGTGCTGTGGAGAAGGCTGCACTGCTGTCAGTCGAGCCCAGAGTCTGCGTTGCTCTTGGTGCACATTGGCGTCAAGCCTGTGTAGAACATCGCTGCCCTCGGCTGGAAGGACTGACAGTCCTGGAATCACATCTCGTGGCTCACAAAGGACCCCAGCCTCAAGGTGCTCTGCTGCCATGGCACGGCGGCCTGTCCTGTTGTCCCTAGAGGCTGGTTTGTGCCTGGTGCACGGTGCACTCAGACTCACGCGAGCCTTCCGTCAAGGGGGCAGCTGTTACTCTGGGAGCAGTTCCAGCCTGGGCTTCTGCTGGAGCTCCGTGGCGTTGCTTTCTCGGGTTGGTGGAGAAGTGGACTTCCCCAGTGAGAAGTACAATTTCAGAAAGGGGCACAGAAAGAACCCAGAGAGAAAGCAAGGCAAACCTCACAATGACTGCCACAAAACAAGTGCTACAAAGAGAGAATTCACTGCCAGAAATAGCTGACAGTCCAGTGATAAAGGACTCCCCTTCCCTTCCCTTCCCTTCCCTTCCCTTCCCTTCCCTTCCCTTCCCTTCCCTTCCCTTCCCTTCCCTTCCCTTCCCTTCCCTTCCCTTCCCTTCCCTTCCCTTCCCTTCCATCTATCCTTCTTTCTTTCTTTCCTCCTTCCTTCCTTCCTTCCTTCCTTCCTTCCTTCCTTCCTTCCTTCCTTCCTTCCTTCCTTCCTTTTCCAGCTGACTGATGGCTGCTTTCTTTGTGGCCACAGCTCCTGAGGAGCGCTGAGAGCTGGGAGGAAACAGGGGAATGTTGCACCCCCTGCAGGATCCCGAAAATCAGTGACGCGGGGCAGGTGCTGGGAGGAGCTGCAGGGTGCAATGCTGGCAGCCGAGCTCCGCTTCTGGGAGCACGATGGACTGCGCCTCTGAGAAGGCGACTGCAATCACAGTGAGCAGTGGCAGCAGGCACACCAGGTTTGCAGCACTGCCTTCCTCCCGTCTCTCTCCACTTTCAGATTCTCGATCCAGCCCACAGAGCCAAAATCACAGAATCACAAGGTTGGAAACGACCTGCAAGATCATCCAGTCCAACCCCCCTCCCATTGCTATCAGTACCACAAGCACTAACCCACATCTTGTAGCTCCTCATCCAGGCGCCTCTTGAACGCTGCCAGGGACGGCGACTCCACCACCTCCCTGGGCAGCCATTGCAGTGCCTGACCACCCTCTGAGAGAAAAAGTTTCCCCTCATGTCCAACCTAAACCTCCTCTGGTACAACTTCCGGCCGTTTCCTCGGCTCCTACTATTAGCCTGGGAGAAGAGGCCAGACCCTTTTGCACCACAGCCTCCCTTCAGGAAGTTGTAGAGTGCTATGAGGCCTCCCCTGAGCTCCTCTCCTGCAGACTGAACCATCCCAGCTCCCTCAGCCGCTGTTCATAAGACTTGTGCTCCGGACCCCTCACCATTTCGTTGCCCTTCTCTGCACACGTTCCAGGGCCTCCATGTCTTTCTTGCAGTGAGGGGCCCAAAACTGAACACAGCACTCGAGGTGCGGCCTCACCAGTGCTGAGTACAGGGCACAATCACCTCCCTGCTCCTGCTGGCCACACCATTTCTAATGCAGGCCAGGATGCTGTTGGCCCTCTTGGCCACCTGGGCACACTGCTGGCTCGTGTTCAGCCGAGCATCAACTAACACCCCCAGGTCCCTTTCCTCTTCACAGTCATCCAACCACTCATCCCCAAGCCTGTAACGCTGCATGGGGTTGTTGTGCCCAAATGCAGGACCCGGCACTTGGCCTTGTTGAACCTCATCCCATTCACCTCGGCCCAGCGATCCAGCTGATCCAGATCCCTCTGCAGGGCCTCCCTGCCCTCAGGCAGATCCACACCACCTCCCAACTTGGTGCCATCTGCAAACTTACTCAGGGTGCACTCAGTGCCTTCATCTAAGTCGTCAATGAAGATATTAAACAAGATGGGCCCCAGCACCGACCCCTGGGGGACACCACTTGAAACAGGTCTCCAGCTGGACTTCACTCCATTGACCACCACCCGTTGAGCACGGCCCTCCAGCCAGTTCCTTATCCAACGGAGGGTAAAACTGTCCAAGCCATGGGCAGCCAGTTTCCACAGAAGGATACTGTGAGAGACCGTGTCAAAGGCTGTGCTGAAGTCTAGGTAGACATCAACAGCCTTTCCCTCATCTACCAGTCTGGTCACCCAGTCGTAGAAGGAGATGAGGTTGGTCAAACACAACCTGCCTTTCATGAACCCATGCTGGCTGGGCCTGATCCCATGGACGTCGTGTGATCTCTCCCAGGAGGATTTGTTCCATGACCTTCCCTGGCACTGAGGTCAGGCTGACAGGCCTGTAGTTTCCCTGATCCTCCTTACGGCCCTTCTTGTAGATGGGAGTCACATCAGCAAGCCTCCAATCCTCTGGAACCTCTCCAGTCAACCAGGAGCCAAGAGCGGCTCAGCGATCACCCCGCCAACTCCCCCAGCACCCTAGGATGAAGCCCATCCGGTCCCATGGCCTTGTGACTGTCCAGATGGAGGAGGAGCTCCCTAACGGCCTCCACCTCCATCTCCGGGGAGACATGCTGCGTGTCAGACCAGATATCCAGATCAGGGCACAAAGTGCCCTGAAGATAACAGGTCTGACTATTAAAGGCAGATGTAAAGAAGGCGTTGAGGACCTCAGCCTTCTTCTTGTCATCTGTGGTCACATTCCCCGCCGCATCAATTAGAGGATAGAGATTATCCTCGGTTTTTCTCTTGCCATTGATATATTTGTAAAAGGATTTCTTATTCTCCTTTACTGCAGTGGCCAATCTAAAAGAAAAGGAAGAAAATGTGCTAGTAGTTCTTTCTTGGTTCCTGTTGCAGAGCGAATGGTTGCCTGCTGGTCAGAGCAGGACGGTGCCTGCTGTCTGCTGAACCTTACGCAGGAGCGCTGGTGCTTTTGCATCATGCACTCCCACCCTTGTCCCCTGTCCTGTAGGGCACCCACAGCCTCTGGGCACCCTGGGCCAGGGCCTCGCTGCCTTTGGGAGAGGAATTCCCTCTGCACATCTACCTCAATTTGCACCTTTTGAGTTTAAAGCCATTCCCACTCGTATGATTGCTGTCAGCCAATGCCAAGTGGCACACAAGGCCTGGCAGCAGGTCAGGTAACGACACAGCAGCACGTGGACACCTGTGGTGTTATGTTGTTTATTGGTAATCTCAGGTACATGACAGCAGCGGTTCTGCAGATGTCCGACGGTGTCCCAAACCCGCATGCTGGCGGTGCTCTCACCTCCCGATGGAGAGTGGAGGGGAGCGGAAGGGCAGATGTAGTGCTGCGGGGTGCTGGGGGCTGCTGGCCGAGGTCTGTTTCCCCCTGGCAGTGGTCTTCCAGTTATCCAATGAAGCCCCTGAGCTGACGCCCCGGGGGGGCCACTCCCACCGCCTGAAAGATGCTTGAGGGGAGGGAGAGAATGGTGCTCGGGGCGGCTGTGGGCTGCTGAACTGCTCACGCTTCCCCCAGGCCGCAGTTGTCGGTCTGCTGGGTAATTGCCCCAGGCCAAGACCCTGGCGGGGCTGCTCCCACCTCCTGAAGGATGGTGGAGAGGAGGGGGAGGGCAGCGAGGAGGCCTGGGGGGGCCACTTCCGTCCCCTGAAGGATCGCAGAGGGGAACGGGAGGCTGGTGACGGCGCCCGGGGAGGCCGGGGGCTGCTGGGCCGGTCCTGCTTCCCCCTGGCAGCGGCTGTCCTGTCGGACCGTTTCCCCAAGTCGGCACGCTGCGCGGATCGCTTCCATTCCCTGACAGGTGATGGAGGGAACGGGGATGGCAGAGGCGGCGCTGGGGGGGGCTGGGGGCTGCCGGGCCTGGTCTGTTTCCCCCTGGCAGTGGTTTTCCAGGGGTGTGATGATGCCCCCGAGCTGAGAACCTGGGGGCGCTGCTCCCACCTCCTAAAGGATGATGGAGAGAAGGAGGGGGGCAGAGGTGGTGCCGGGGGGGGTTGGGGGCTGCCGGGTCTCTCAGGCTCCTCCGAGGCAGCGGTTATCCAGGTGCTGGACGATGCCCCCGAGCCGACATGCTGAGGAGACTGCTCCCGTTCCTTGAAGGATGGTGGTGGGGGATGGGGGGGCGGTGTTGATGCCCGCTGCGGCCGGGGGCTGCTGGGCCTGTCGCTCAGCTGCTGGGGAGCAATCGGTTTGGTGCTGGCCAATGACCGCAAGCCTCCACCCCCAGCTGGTTCCTTCCGTCCCTTGATGGATGGTGGAGGAGGACGAGGGGGTGGTGTTGATGCCCGCTGTGGCCGGGGGCTGCTGGGTCTGTTTCTCATCTGCTGGGGAGCAACCGGTTTGGTGCTGACCGATGACCACAAGCCTGCACCCCCGGCTGGTTCCTTCCGTCCCTTGATGGATGGTGGAGGAGGACGAGGGGGCGGCGTTGATGCCCGCTGCGGCCGGGGGCTGCTGGGTCTGTTGCTCAGCTGCTGGGGAGCAATCGGTTTGGTGCTGGCCGATGACCGCAAGCCTGCACCCCCGGCTGGTTCCTTCCGTCCCTTGAAGGATGGTGGAGGAGGACGAGGGGGTGGTGTTGATGCCCGCTGGGGCCGGGGGCTTCTGGGCCTGTCGCTGATCCCCCGCGATGCAGAGCCCGGGCTGGGGGGCCGCGGGGGTCGAGGCGGGGGTAGCTGAGCCCGGCGGCTGTTCAGCCTGACAGGGGCCGCTCTGCTGGTGCCCTGCGGCTGGTGGGCAGGTTGTTCCCGCACAGATGGTTGGTGGTTTGTCCGTCTGTCGGGCCACTCGAGGTCAGCAGACTCCTCCTCTGACGGCGAGCTGTAGCTGCTGCTATCGTCCCGCGCTCCGTCAGCTGCAGCGAGGCGCCTGCGGAGAGAAGAACGTGCTGAGGGCGCAGCAGAGCCCCTGCTCTCCTTCCTCATGGCAAAGAGCCGCCCTCGGCTCTCAGCCCGTCTCAGGCCCAGCACTAAGAACGGGCTGCAGGAATGGCCGCGCCACTCCAACGTCTGACAGCACAGATCTCAGACCATGTGAGCCAACGGCTGACCCGCCTCTCTGTGCTGCTTTAACTACAAATGCCTCCTGGCTCACGGCAGCCCTGCAGTAAAGAGTTGGGCGGGATGGGGCTGGGGGTGAACAACAACTCACTGCTTCCTCTTCCTGCACCACCAGAAAAGAACGCAGCACAGAATCATCGCTAGCAACAGGGAAACCGGCACAGATGCGGCAAGTTCCAGGTACAACTTCTGTGCATCTTTAACTTGCTCGGCGTTTGCACGTCCTTCGTCATCCACACCTGCAGGAATAAAGTGGTTGTTGCTGTGTCTCGTGCCACACCGGCAATCTCGCAGCAGCTCTGACACGGCCACAAAATGCTCTTCTCATTTTGCTGGCCTCCTGGAACAAGTGAAAATCCCCAGGCTGCAATGCTTTCCCTGATTCCAGGGGGAAGCTAAGGGAGTTCCCAAAGGCGCTGCACATCAGCGCACTCTGGAGCCTCTGTTCTGCCTCTCAGCTTTGTTCTCACTCTGGCTCTGCCACCGTCCAAATGTTCCTGGGCCATGGATTTGCTCCTTCTTCTCCATCATGCTCTAAGATTGCTTTTGCACTCGCCCATCCTCGCCTCGTGAGGCTGGGCAGTGCTGCTGCAGGCACACCGTGACCACCTGGGGCACGTTGTCTGACTAAAGAAAACTCCTTAGAGCAGAAGGAGAGCGTGTGGATCTCTTTAACCAATTGTGCTATGAGTGACATGGACAAGAACAAGCCCTGAGCTCCCCCCTCCCACTGGGAACCCACTCGGAGGCAGAGTCAGGCCCTCCCTACAGGGACCTGAACCTGCCTCTCCCTTTTTGCCTTTCCCCCGGCGTGGGCACAACTTGCAGGCTCCGAGTTTTCTCCCCTTTATGAACTCCTGCCTGATTGTTGCTCACCTGGATTCTTCAGAAAAAAACCACGGATCCAGTTGTACTGGGCTTCCTGGGGCTCTAACAGCACTGTGAAGGATGAGAGAAAGACAAAGTCTCAGCGTGGTGCAGCCAAACAGGAGGCAGGACGGGGGGGCTCCCTCTAGGGAGTCAGTGCGTCCCTCTGGAGCTCAGTTTGCAGGAGGGATCCCGCTGCAGGCTGCTGGTGTGCCAGGCGCCTCCAGGGAGGCACAGCAAGATGTGGAATGCAGGGACTGTGGGAGGGAGGTACGTCGGAGGGTCCTATTTCCTCTCCTCCCCTGCTGAATGTGGTTCCCCTGGCCAAAGTTCCTAAATCCCTGGGAACTGGGGGTGATGGGAGGGGAGCAACCTCTGACCACAGCCACGGAGCTCTAGGAGGGGCTTTACCTGGAGCGCCAGTCGTGTGCTTGGCCTCTGTTTCTCCCAGAGGGACGTGCGCTGTGCGACGGCTGCCTGCCTGAAATGCATCCCTGTGCTCAGGCTTTCCGTCTGCCTCTTTAGAAAGGAAGTAAGAGAGTGGGGCTGTAAGTAACTGCTTCTCATCAGGAAGATGGTATCTGCAGGAGGCACCAGTTCTCTAGACACGTCAGTAGAGTTTAGGAACAAAGCCTGGGCTTTTTGTGGTGCACTCCATTCCTGCTCCAAACTGTGTGCCATCCTGTGAGACAAACTCAAGTGCTGCACACTTCCCAGTTTGCGAGCACAGACAGCAAGACCTGTCCTGCTGGGAGACCAGCAGCTTGCAGGCAGGCTTCTTGTGCGATTCTGGCAAGCTGCAAGATGATGCCACCAGCCAGTTCAGATCATAGGGCTCTGGTCCATCCTGTCCTGCTGGGCACGTTACAGTTTCTCCATGTATCTACCTAGAAACTCCGCTTCCCCAGTCTTTCAGTGAACAGAGAGACACCCACCCTGTGCTGCCTTCTCCTTCATGATTTTCTTCAGGACATGGGAGAGCCTCTGAGAATATCTTCCAGTTCTCGATGTCTCTTTCCATATCTCAGGACCTTAACAGAAAGCACGAAAATACATTTCAGACAAACAAAGGATTGAACTGAATGGTCTTTTTGGTGAAGTCAATAAAGACAACAGCCGCCCCTGGGACGCCTGTGGGGCTCCGGCACGGCAGGCAGCCAAGGATTTTTGCCCGGCCTTCCCTGCAGGCACTTCTGCACCCAAAGGCTGAGGAGAACTTTCCATCACACGCTGCCATCTACGCAGCTGCGGAGCAGAGTTATGCAAGTGGCAGAGCTGCCAGGTGGGCAGCTGGCTGGCGCTCAGCAGCTTTCCCCATACTCTCTCCAGGTTGTGTGAAACAATCCTCAGCAGCAGCATGGAAGAACATCTGGGTTTTCTTACTGGAGAGATCTGTGATGTTACAGAGACGAAGCCAACAGGACACTGGGAGCTCGCAGCACCCAACAAACGGAGTAGAAATCACCGGGCAGTGAAAAGCTGAACCCTGCCTCAACTGCCAAAACCACATACGAGCAGAGAGCGTGAGATGAAGGCTGGTGGCTCACCTCTGGCATCCTGTCCAGGCTCAGCAACAGGACTCCGCTTTGGTACTTCACCGAGAAGACCTGCAGGCACAAATGTGATCAGACACAGGTGAGGACAGCTTCCACTGCACCTTGGCGCCTGGACTTTCTGCAGTGACCTTTGAGGACTGGTGGCAGGTCGGGGAAAGACATGGTCCAAACGGCAAACGTAGAGGTTCTCTCCTCCAAAGAGTGGCCAGGGCTGCTTTCCCACTGAAATGGGACAGTTAGCCAAGTAAAGAAATACTCAGGACTGTTCTGTGTACAGAACAGGGCCTTTAAGGCACAAAGAGACTTGAAAGACCTTTGGAGGCTCTTAAGTACCTGCATAAACTACAACTCCACTAATTTCTCCTGCCTTCGAAGACACTCACAACTTACCTCTGGGTTTCCCCTGAGGCACAAAAGCAGTATCCACCCAATCCTCGGGATAAGGAGCATCAGCGCCATCATCTAGAATCAAGAACAGGTGAGACACGTTCCCATGGCATGTCAAAATCTCCTTTTCCCCTGGTGACTGGGGAGGGGTCAGGTAAGGCGATGGGAGACTCGGGCGGTGATCGCCAAGGCTGCAGAGCGGCCAGGGCGACCTGGAGCCTGGCACTGGGCAGCTTTCCAAATGCTCTCTCCAGGCCACGTGCAACGCGCCGCTGGGACCGCTCGGAAGGACACACAGCCATCAGGGCTTTCGTACTGGCAAATCCCTGCTGCATCTCACACTAAAGCACTGGAGGAAACGATGCCTGTTTGTTGCTCTGGGCTCTGGCCGGCAGGCTCTGTTGGGAGCTGGGATTTGTCTGCGGGGAGCAGCAGGAAGCCGGAGCAGAAACGCTCCCGCTGTTCCCAGCACACATCTGCTGAGCTCCTCCAGGACACCCCGGGCAAAGAGCTGCTCAGCCAGCACAGAGCCACGGCCCGGCACGGCCTGCAGAGCATCGCTCCCTCACGCCCTCGCCCGGCTCCCGCAGTGCCGCCCGTCCCCCCACCCCAACAGCCCCACGGCAGGCGGCCCCGGGGCACAAGGGGACGAGAGCCCGGACCTCTCGCCCTCGCCACCGCTCAATTTCAGCCCCATCTCTGCCCACCCACCTGCTGGTGCTCGCCACGGAGCAGCACCAGTCTCCTGGGAACACGTGGCCGCCAATAGGAGGAGGAGAGCAAGGCGGGCGGGGGCCGCGGCCCCCCACACTCGTGCCATGCTGCCACCACCAGCGCTGCAGCCAAGTGAGTGCCGACAGCCGGCACGGAATGCCTGGGGTGGGGGCTGAGCATTGTGAGCTCACGGCACCAGGCTGAGCATTGTGAGCTCACAGCACCAGGCTGAGCATTGTGAGCTCACAGCACCAGGCTGAGCATTGTGAGCTCAGGGCACCAGGCTGAGCATTGTGAGCTCATGGCTGTTCTGCCACCAGGGCCGCTGCCCCTGCGCTCGCTGCTGTGCTGGGCGAGGATTCCCAGCCCTGCGGAGCAGCAGGAGGCCACTGACTGTCATGTGGAGCGCTGGAACGGCCGGGCTGGGAAGGGACATTAAAGGGACATTAAAGACACAGAGATGCTGTCAGAGCAGAAAGAAAATCACTGCAGTGTTGTTTGTGCTGCTTGGTGCAAACCAAGAGATTCACTTTGCTCTTTTGATGCCGAAACAGAAGCCAGTTTTTTAGTGCCGTTTCCCCTTCAACCCTCCCCACCCCAGCCTCTCTCCCCTCCCCTCACCCCTGCCTCTCATTTTCTCCCTCCTCCTTCTCCCCTCTCCTCCTCTTCCCCCCATTTCTCCTTTCCCCTCCCTTTCCCCCTTGCCTTATGCTCAACTTTCCTCTCCTGCTCTTCACCAAATTCTTCTGCATTCTCCGCCTTTTGCTGCTACTCTTTCCTTGCTTTCCTTTGCAATGCTGTGCTTTTCTCTCCACATTTCTTGCCACCCATTTTTTTCTTAGCTCTTATTCTTCACTTTTTACTTGGCTTTTTTCTCCTATTCTCTTTGCCTTTCTTCTCTTCTCTTCTTTTAGTCATTTTTTCTCTTTTCATATATCCTTTTCTATCTCCTCTTTTTTGCTTTCTCCTTCTTTTTCTTTTCGATTTTTCTTTTTTCTCTTTTTTTCCATTAAATACCTGTTTTCTTCTCTCTTTTTTTTTCTACTTTTTAATTTTTTTGCTCTTTTTTTCTTTTGTTTTCTCTTCTTTTCATCTTTTTTTCTTATTTTTATTATCTATTCCTTTTTTCTTTTCTCTATTTTGTTTCTTTTTCCTTTTTTCTATTTTTCATCTTCTTTATCTTTTTTTTTTTGTCTTTTCTCTCTTTTTCCTCTTTTATTTTCCATTCGCTTTAATCTTTTTTCCTTTTTTTCCCCCTCTTTTTTCTCATTTTTTCCTCATTTTTCTCTTTTACCTTTTTCTCTCTTTTTTTCTGACTTTAATCATAGGTTTTCCTTTAACCCTCCCCTCAACCCCCCTCCCCTCTCCTCTTCTCCCACCCCCTCTTTTCTCCCTTTCCCCTCCCCTTCCCCCTACCATTACCTCCCCTGCCCTTCACTTACCTTCTCCTCACTTCCTCCTTCTTCATGCTCCTGGCTTTTGCTGCTACTCACACCAACTCCCAACACTTGCCTCCTCTGCTTGCTGCTCTGCCCACTGCCTCTCAGCTCTGCTCAAGCTTCACGCCGCCTGCCTGCCCTTCTCTCTTCCCTTCAGGCTTTCCTCCCCTTGCTGAGCGAGGCCATGCCCAGTAGCTCCCCTTCAACCTCCTCTGCACTTTGCCTTCCTCCAAGAGATGCTTGCTTCTGGCCCGCACTCCTGCCCGCTGCCGGCCCACAGCCCGCATCTCTTGGGAGACGGCAGCTGCCCTCACCTCCTCCCAGCACGGCTTCTCAGCTTGGCATCAAGCCCACAACCCAAAGCAGCTCCTCTTACCTTTGGGCCCAGCTTCTTCTCCTTCCGCGCAGCTCCTGTGGCAAACCGGGGCTCAGCTCTTCCCCATTCCTCCATTCCTGCAAGGTTGCACGGTTTCATTCTTTGCCTTGCCTTGCTTTGCTGTGCTATGGTTAGCTTTCCTACTTGCTCTCTCTACATTTACATGCATTGCTTTTCACTTTTTATTCTCTTTCTTTCCTCTATTTTCCTTACAACCCTCCCCGTTTTTGTTGTTGTTGTTGCTTGTTTGTTTCTTGGTTGGTTTTTCTTTTTTAGTCTTTTTATCTTTTCTTACTTTTTATTACTTTTTCTTTCAGCCCCCTGAAGTTACTTTATATCCACCCTTTGGCCCCCTTTATCCCCCTTATCATTTCCATATCTGGGCCTTTACCTATGCCTCCTCTCCCCACATTACCCTACAGCCCCCCCGTAGCCCCATATTACCCTATACTTTACTACAGCCTATGCAAGCCTCCTGTAGCTCCCCCACAACCTTTTATAACCTCATATCTCCCTATGTCCCACCTCTACCCCTCCACAGACCCCTATTGCACCTGCTTCTCCATATCACACCTATAGCCCCATCTAGCCCCATATCCCCCTCTAGCCCACCTATTTGCCCCCTACAGACATCTATACAACCACATTCTCTAATATCCTCCCCTAGCCTCTTATATCGCTCCCCACAGCTCTCCCCAGCCCCTGGAGCTCCTCCACAAACCCCCTCCAATGCTTCCTATAGCACCATGTTCCCCCTAATCTCCTCACGGCCCTCTATTACCCCAAATCCCCCTAGACCCACCCCTGGAGTCCCATATACCCCAATCCCCTACCACAGCCCACTTCAGCCCCGTATGCCTCCCTATACCCCAACAGCCTTCTGCAGCCTCCCGCAGCCCTCCCCACAGCTTCCTAGCCCACCTCTACTTCGTCGTCAGCCCCCTGTATCTCTCACACAGAATCACAGAATTGTAGGCGTTGGAAGGGACCTCCAGAGCTCATGGAGTCCAACCCCCTGCCCAAGCCGTTCCTACAGCAGGTCGCACAGGTCGGCATCCAGGCAGGTCTTGAACATCTCCAGAGAAGGAGACTCCACCACCTCCCTGCAGCCTGTTCCAGTGCTCCTCCCCTCACTGTACAGCCGTTCCTTCGCACATTTGTGCAGAACTTCCTATGCTGCAGTTTCCAGCCATTTCCCTTTGTCCTGTCTCCACTCACCACTGAAAAGAGTCCGGCCTCACCATTCTGCCCCCACACCTCAGATACTGATAGACCTGGATCAGCTCCCCTCTCAGTCTTCTTTTCTCAAGGCTGAACAGACCCAGTTCACTCAGCCTTTCCTCATAGCAGAGATGCTCCAGGCCCCTCGCCATCTTGGTGGCCCTCCACTGGACTCTTCCCAAGAGATCCCTGTCTGTTTTGTGCTGGGGAACCCAGAACTGGACGCAGTGCTGCAGATGAGGCCTCAGCAGGGCAGAGCAGAGGGGGAGGATCACCTCCCTCCACCTGCTGGCCACGCTCTTTGCAATGCACCCCAGGACGCCATGTTGGCCAGCAGGGCACACTGCTGGCTCATGGCAACCTGTCGTCCACCAGGACACCCAGCTCCCTCTCCATAGAGCTCCCCTCCAGCAGCTCCTCCCCCATCCTGTACCGCTGCATGCAATTACTCCTCCCCAGATGCAAGACTCTATACTTGCTGTTGTTAAACCTCATCCGGTTTCTTGCTGCCCAGCTCTCCAGCCTGTCCAGGTCTCGCTGAATGGCAGCACGGCCTTCAGCCAATCCTCCCAACTTCGTATCATCAGCAAACTTGCTGAGGGTGGCCACCATCCCCTCATCAAGGTCATTGATGAAGATGTTGAACAAGACCGGACCCAGCACCGACCCCTGGGGACACCGCTGGTTACAGGTCTCCAGCCAGACTCTGCACCGCCAACGATGACCCTCTGCGCTCTGCCAGCAGCCAGTCCTCAACCCACCTCACTGTCCACTCGTCTGTCCCACAGCTTTGTTATAAGGATGTGGTGGGGAACAGCATCAAAAGCCTTGCTGACATCAAGGTAGGCCACATCCACTGCTCTCCCCACATCCACCCAGCCAGAGACAACATCACAGAAGGCCACCAGGTTGGTGGAGCACGACCTCCCCCGGTGAACCCATGCTGACTGCTCCTCATCACCTCCTTTTCTCCCAGTTGTCTGGAGATGGCATCCAGCACAGCTGTTCCATCACCTTTCCAGGGACAGAGGTGAGGCTGACTGGCCTATAACTGCCTGGATCTGCCTTCTTGCCCTCTTTGAAGACTGCACTGACATTGGCTCTCCTCCAGTCTTCAGGCACCTCCCAGTCCTCCAACACCTCCCAAAGACACCGAAAGCGGCTCAGCAATCACCTCTGCCAGCTCCCTCAGCTCCCATGGATGCATCCCATCGGCTCCCATGGATTGGTGAACATTGGTGCTGCCTGGGCGCTCCCGGACCACCTCTTCCCTGACTGCAGGGAGGTCTTCCATTCCCCAGAGCCTCTCACTCACCTCCAGGGTCTCAGATTCCCAAGGGGGAGCTTTATCACTGAAGACAGAAGCAAAGAAGGCATTCAGTATCTCCACCTTCTCAGTATCTCCGCCTTCTCAGCATCCCCCGTTACCAGCACACCCCCGTCACTTAGCAGGGGAGCCACATTCTCCCTCGTCTTCCTTTTACTGTTAACATACTTAAAAAAGCCTTTTTTATTATCCTTTATCCCCTTTGCCAGATTTAATTCCGGGTTTCCAGTGAAACAACAGCTGGACCACCTGGTATCTGTGTTCAGGCCCACCAGGCCTTCTCCCTAGCAGTTCTCCATGTCAGTCACAAAGCAGTGCACTCCCATCACAGCCCCAGTCCTGACTTCTCTTGTAGCAGGTTTATTCTGCACCATTACTTTTGCTCTGTGAGGCTGAACCTAGAGAACAGCGTCCAGGTCTGGGCTCCCAGTACAAGAGACAGCTGGACATACTGGAAAGAGACCAATGGAGGGCTACCAAGATGGTGAAGGGACTGCAACACCTCTTCTAGGACAAGAGGTTGAGAAAGAAGGGGCTGCTCAGCCTGCAGAAGGGCAGCTCAGGACTATTCCACCCAGGGCCATCAATCCCTGCAGGGAGAGGCAGACAGGACGGAGCCAGGCTGCATCCCGTGGAGCCCAGTGCCAGGAGCAGAGGTTGCCACCAAACATCAGGAGCACTCCTGCACTGTAAGCGCCGCAGCACTGGCACAGGGACCCAGAGAGGCTGCAGTGTCTCCTCTTGGAGATCTCCAAACCCATCTGGACGTGGTCCTGGGCACCAATTCTGGTGGCCCTGTTGGAGAATCACACGGGTTGGAAAAGTGACCTTAAAGATCACTGAGTCCAACCACGACCTGACCACACTACCCCAACTGACAACCCTCCTCCAAATCACGGCCCTGAGCACCACAACAAATGGTTTTTAAACACAGTCAGGGATGGTGACTCAACCCCCTCCCTGGGCACTGCAGTGCTTAACAACACTTACCGTACAGAAGTTTGTCCTGATATCCAACCTCAACTTACCCCATGTCTGCGCGGCCTGTGGAACCCACAGGTGTGACAATGGGCTCTGGCTTCTGGGGTGCTTCTCAAAGGAAACCAGCGCATGGCGTCAGGAGCAGAGGAGGAAGCAGCCGATCCTGCCGCTGATGCTGACATTCTGCGTCCCCCCAGGACTCCCACACCTTCCTCTTCCCAGGAAGAGGCCCGCACGGAGCGGGGCGGAGCGGGCTCGGCCTCGCTGCGGTCCCCCGCGTCTCCGCCCTCCACATCGTCCTCCCGCAGCTCCAGCCGGGGCCCGAACCTCCCGGGCACCGGAAGCGGAGCGGGCGCACGGCGCGGAGCGGGGCGGCGCCGCAGGCAGCCGGGACGGGGCCATGCGGGACGCGCGCGGTGATGACGCAATGACGGCGAGACCGCGGACAGGAAGAACCCTGCGCGGAGCGCCCGCCCCATTCAGCGGACCGGCCAATGGGAGAGCGAAGGAGGCGGGACAGAGCGCGGGCTCTCCACCAATGGCGGACGCGGAGCCGCCGTGATGGAGCGTGTGATGCTGCATCGCCTCGCGTCCCCGCCGCAGCCCGCCCCGTACCTCGGGGACGCCGGGCGGTCAGGGGAAAGCGGCGCAGGAGCACTGCCGCCGGCCCCGCTCTTCCCCCGTCGGAACCGAGCCGTCCTCCGTCGTTGCGGCGGGGCGCCACCGGGCTGCGAGAAGCGGCGGCTGACCGCGAGCGGCGGGACCCGGCCGGTGTCCGGGAGCGGCTCCTGGCTGAGCCGGGCAGCCCCGGAAGAGATGGAGCGACCGCACGGATCGAGACGCGTTCGAGCCCGGCACGGAGTCAGCAAAAGCCTTCGGCTCTCGCCCGATTCCAATCATCGACGGCGCTGTGCTGAGCTGCTGCCCCGCAGCCGCAGTCTCCAAGGGCCGGTTTCCATCTGTGTGTCCCCGTGCGGTGCTCCCGGAGCCGTGTGAAGCCCACGTGGAGCCGCTTCGTGTTGGCCCCGAGGAGGGAAGCCGTGAGGGGGGATGATTGTTCGGGTGGGAGCTGGTTGGGAATACGGTCGTTTCTCTGTTTATTGCTTCTGTGTTAAATGATTAAATGTTTAGCGTTCGTTTTTCAGCACTTCTGTGTGCAGTCAATTCTGCAGCTCCAAAGGGGGGGGAAGGAGGATCGGAATGGGGGAATAGGAGCGGTGGGACGGGGTGGAGGGGAGAAGGGACGCTTAGGGTAAGAATAGGGGGAGTCGCTTGGGGGGAGGGGAGGAAAGAAGCCCCTGGTAGTCAGAATGGGGAGTTTCATGGGGGAGGGAGGGGGGATGGAGAGGGGATTCGAGGGGTCAGAATGGGGGACTGAGGAGGAGTCCTGGGTGGAGTGGTAAAGAGGATCAGGGGGGAAGCGAGGGGTGGGACGGGGGGGGGGGGGGCGGAAGGGAAGGAGGAAAGGGACCCTGGGAGTCAGAAAGGGGAACGAGGGGGGGAAATGAAGCGGGGGGTGGAGGAGGACTGCAGAGATCAGAATGGGGGAACTGGAGGGGAAGTGGGGGGGCTGGGCAGATGGGAGGGGGACCGAGGGGAAGGGTGCGACCCTGCGAGTCAGAAAGAGGGGCTGGAGGGGTTGTGGGCGAACGGTCACACAGAGCACCTCCTGCCGCCGAGCGGAGGCCCGGAGTCACACAGAAGCCCCAAGGGGCCAAATCGGGGCGGCACGAGGCCCCCTGCCCCGGAGCCCCATCTGAACACCCATTTTTAGAAGCCGAGGCGGCGCTGGGAGCCCCAGGGCAGCGTTGGAGCAGCGCGAGGCACCGCACCGCTTCCGCATGGCCGCCTCTTCCTCCCGGCGCAGCTTGATGACGTCACGATCGCCATAGCAAGGAGATGGCGACAAGCTGGGAGCTGGGCCAAGCAGCACAGATTTAGTCCAAAGAACGGAGAAATTGGGCCCGTCTGGAGGCAAAGGCTGCAATTCTCATTAAGGCTCCTTAACGCTCAGCTGGGGGGGCTCTGCCTTCACGGCTTTTTGTGATCTGCTGCAAGGAGAGCTGCCGTGGGGCAATGCGCCAACAAGGCCGCATTGTAACAGTGCTGGAAAATGGGCCCGGCTGAGAAAAAAGGCCAGGATGCCTCTTCCAAAGCAGAATGCCAAGAAATGCCAGGAAACTACACAGAAGATACCCAATATGGAGCTTTCTGGTTCCCCCTCTGTAATGCCGAGCTGCCAGTGTGTTGAACAAAACACGTGTTGAGTGTGCTGCAGCAGAAAGCCACGATCAGCCCTGAGTGCAGGGCCAGGAGCAGTCCTGAGTTCACTGCTGCAGCAATGGCACAGCTCTGCTGGGTTTCATGGTGCCATATTGGCACAGCTCTGCTGGTTTTTAGGGTGACACATTGCACAGCTTTCCTGGGTTTAATGGTGGCACAGCTCTGCTGGGTTTAATGGTGGCACACTGCACATCTCTGCTGGGTTTAATGTTGACACATTGCTCAGCTCTGCTTGGTTTAATAGTGGCAATGTCAGTCATTCTGGAGACTCACTGTAATAACCCCGCCTTTGCTTGGACACCTAATGCACATGTAAGCAGCTGGTTCTTTAAGCACATGCATTTCTTGCCCTCTGATAAAGCAGATTTTATTTGCAATTCATTGCCGGGTGTCCCGCAAGCAGAAGCACGTTTGCAGTCAGCGTTCCATCTTTTATGCCCTTTTATGACCTGATGCTTCTCTTTTCCTCTCCTAGTTCCTAAACTTGGACCTAAAACTGCAGCCACAGCACCAGAGAGGCTGGCACTGTCCCTAAAGCTGTGGCCGCAGCCAGAGACACCGGCACTGGTCGCCAGGCCTGAAGCCACAGCCAGGAAGGCCGGCCCCAGTCCTGGGTCGTAAAGCCACGGCCATCGTTAGGCTGGCATTGCCCACGAGGCCTGAAGCCTCAGCCCCAGCCTGAGCAGCACCGGCCGTGGGGCCTGAAGCCACCTCCAGAGAGGCTGGCACCAGGCATACAGCTGTGCGTTCCTACTGATCCCTATGGGACTTTTGTATATGGGTCCAGACTGGTTTGCTCCTACTGCTCCTATGGGTCTCTGCTGACCACTAGGAGTCCATCCTGGTCTTTTCTGGTCCGTACAGCTGCGCGCACCTTCTGGATCCTTCTGGTTCCTCTGGGACTCCATTGACTATGGGAGGCCATACTGGTCATTACTGGTTTCTGCTGGGCTGCATGAGAGTCAAGTCCAACCCCAACCCACCCCCACCAGAGCAGCTGTCAGGACTCCCTCTGCTTTTTGCTGATTGCAATTTTTGCTTTGCATTAGAATTTTTTCTTTTTTGTGTGCGGGTGTTGGTTTTTTTTTTCTGACTCTTTTCCCCTGTTTTATTCTGTTCCATGATTTTTTGTTTCCGGGGCAGAACGGCGTTCATCACTGTCCCTCGCTTGGTATTTTCTGCACGTGGGTTGCAAGTGGAGCCTGTGGTTCAGTGTCCCAAAATGACTGCAAAGTGCTACCAATTTGCTTTATAAGAAGAGAAGGGCAAGTCTGTGTTCTTAGTGAACAGACATAAGGTTGCAGTTTGACTCTGTGAGGATGAGCAACGCGTGCTGAGCGTTCACATCAGCATCGCTGCGGTGAGTGCAGCCATCGGCTGCTTTGGGGGTGGGATGCAGGGATGTCGTTTTCAGACAGGAGCCCTGCGGAGCCCGTTTGTGAAAGGGGGGCAAGCTTGGCCGCCGTGTGCTGCGTTGTTCCTGTTTCACGTGTGCGCTTGAGAGTTCAGCTGTGAGGTAGCGCGGCCTTTCTAAGCGTATCCTGGTATTTGTTAGCATTTTGGGGTCGCTTACAGGTTTCCCATGTTTTCAGATTTGTTTTCTGCCTGTTGTTTTTTTTTCTTTTTCCCCCCATTTCGTTTTTTTGCTTACTGTTTTCTTGGTTCTTTTCCTGTTTTTTGTCATGGCGTCAGTTTTTCGTGGGCCTAGTTTTTGTTTTTGCATTAGGTTTCTCCGGGTGCTGGACTCAATTTTGCGTCCGTTTTTGCTTTTCTTGGGCGTCTTTTCATTTTCTCATTTGGAATGGCTGCCCAGGGAGGTGGTGAAGTCGCCGTCCCTGGCAGTGCTCACGAGGCGTCTGGATGAGGAGCTACAAGATCTGGTTTGGTGCTTGTGGTAGCAGTGGTGACGGGAGGGCGGTTGGACTGGATGATCTTGTAGGTCCTTTCCAACCTTGTGACTGTGATTGTGTGATCCACAACACAAATGGAAACGGCTGGAAACTGCAGCATAGGAAGTTCTGCACCAATGTGCAAAGGAACGGCTGTGCAGTGAGGGGAGGAGCGCTGGAGCAGGCTGCCCAGGGAGGTGCGGCAGTCTATGGGTCCCAATGTGTCTCTATGGGTCCCAATGGGTCTCTATGGGTCCCAACATGTCTCTATGGGTCCCAACATGTCTCTATGGGTCCCAACGTGTCTCTATGGGTCCCAACGCATCTCTATGGGTCCCAATGTGTCTCTATGGGTCCCAACGTGTCTCTATGGGTCCCAACGTGTCTCTATGGGTCCCAACGCATCTCTATGGGTCCCAACGTGTCTCTATGGGTCCCAACGCATCTCTATGGTCCCAATGTGTCTCTATGGGTCCCAACGTGTCTCTATGGGTCCCAACGCATCTCTATGGGTCCTAATGTGTCTCTATGAGTCCCAACGCATCTCTATGGGTCCCAACGCATCTCTATGGGTCCCAATGTGTCTCTATGAGTCCCAACGTGTCTCTATGGGTCCCAACGTGTCTCTATGGGTCCCACTGCTCACTGGAACAGGCTGCCCAGGGAGGTGGTGGAATCTCCTGCTCTGCAGATGTTCCAGACCTGCCTGGATGCCGACCTGTGCGCCCTGCTGTAGGAACTGCTTGGGCAGGGGGTTGGACTCCATGAGCTCTGCAGCTCCCTTCCAACCCCTACAGTTCTGTGAAGCCCCTAACACCAACCACAACCCCACAGCAAACCCCAATCCCAACCAGCAACCAACCCATAACTCCAACCAGAACCCCAACCTCAACTCCAACCCCAACCCCAACTATAATCCTAACCCCAACCCCAACTCCAGCCCCATCTTTTGTTGGTGAACTCATCAGGGAAATCATGAACCCCCCTTCCCTCCTCCCCCCCCCCCCCCCCACCCGGAGCGGCTCAGCCTTCCTGTGAAGCACACGTTTCCAATTTTGGGATTTGTGTTTCCGTTGCCATCTTTTTTAATGATTCAGTAAAATAATTACAATAAGAAATCCATTCCTCAGCTCAGACTGGGGAAGTGAGCAGCCCTGAGCAGAGCTGAGCGCTGCTGGGGGTCCCCGTGGGCGGGGCGGTGAGGTCCCAGTGGGGCCCTTTGTGATGCGTCCCCGTGCCCCACAGCTCCAGCTGCCGGCGCTGCGCCCCTCACTTTCCGTCAGGACTCTGATGAGAAAGCACGCGAGCAGACCTGCGGTGCAAACCACCCCTCGGGTCAAATCGCAGCGCTTACCCCCGCCCGTGGCTGCCCAGGCCGTGGTCGGTCCCCAACCTCAGCCCTCATCCTCTGCGATGGAGGAGAGAAAGCCCTCCTGCCCCGCAGAGAAGGGCAAAACCCCCCAGGAGCCCCCTGTTGTGCCGCCCGGTGAGCGAGGGTCCCCGCAGGGCTGGGGGTTGGTGCGGTGCGGGGCTTTTTGCATGGTGCTGGGGCTGCGTGGGGTGGCAGAGGGCAGAGCCCCCTGCTCTCCTCGCTCTGCTCCGGGCTCCTCTACCCCACGTCTGACCGCAAATCTTAATCCTAGCCCCAGCCCTCAGCCCAACCTTAACCCTCAACCTAACCCAACCCCAAGCCCAACCCTAAGACCAACCTGAACTCTAAACCCAGCTATCAACCAGAACCTAACCCAACCTCAACCCGAACCTTAAACTTAACCCTAAACCCAACCCCAGCCTCAACTCCAGCTTCAACCCTAACTTGAACCCCAACCCCAACCTCAATCCTAACACTAACCACAACCCTAAACACAACTCTAATTCCAACCCCCCCTGCACTCCCAATTCCAGCTCCCCGCTCGGACACCCCTGGGATGCCCGTGTGTGATGCGGAGCGTTACGCGATGGACGACATCGAGGCCTTTGTCCAGAGAGCAGAGGTGACTGCGGCCGCTGCCATCGCGGCGGTGCCCCATCCGCACCCCCAGACCCATTTCAGCCGCAGGAGAGCTCTGCCCCCCTGCTCACTCTCCCCCCACTCTCTGACAGCCTCAGAACGAGGAGCAGAAGATGAAGTTCCTGCAGAGCATCCGCACCATCTGCAGCCGCGTGGCGGAGAGGAACGTGGCGCAGGAACTGCGCGTCTTCTGCCGCCGGAACAATCTTGTGGAGAACATCATGGTGAGGGGCGCTGGGTGCTGGAGGGGGGCAGCGGGCGGCTCCTCTCCTCCCGGCGCTGCGAGCACTGAGTGCCCGGTGCCATCCTGCTGTGCTGCAGGTGCTGCTGGCGGAGGAGCCGCACAAAAAACTGAGCTCCGAACTGCGGCTGCAAGCGATGGCCACCATCACCACCCTCAGGTACTGCCCAGCTGCTGCCGGCTTGGCCCCGCAGCATTCAGACGGCCCCACACGGCCTGTACGGCCCTGCAGGCCCAGGGGACGATCCTGGCCGTTCTGGGCTGCTGCTCTCCTGCATCGGGGCTGGCCAAAGAGCTGAGGGAGTCCTGCGGCCCTGCTGGGCCTCAGCTCGAACGCTGACCGTAACCTGACCCTCGTCCTAAGCCTAACGCTAACCACAACCTAAACCCTGACCCTAACTCTAGTCCTAACCCTAGCTCTAACCCCAAACCCAAACCCAGCCCCAACCCCAACCAACACTTGAGTGCTGGTGGTGGCAATGGTGACGAGGAGACGGTTGGACTAGATGATCTTATAGGTCGTTTCCAACCTTGTGATTCTATGATTCTAACCCACACCCACCACAGCAGCACTCAGGACTCCCTCTGCCCCACGCATCCCCGTGGAGGAGGGGCTTCCTCCCAGCGTTGCCCCCCTCGCTCTGCAGAGTGCTGCCCATGGCAGGGGTCCACTCCCCGTCCCCAGCGCAGCGCTCCCAGCTTTGCAGTTCTTGTTTCTGCAGCAAGGTGGAGGGGTTGCTGGAGGAAAAGATCCCTCTCTTTGATGTGTGCTTCCAGAGCATCCTCCTGCTTCCCTTGGAGCAGGACCTGGACGTGAGCCTTTACTCTCAGGTGGGTGCTGGGGAGCTGCAGGACCCCCTGCCTCGCAGGACAGGCTCTTGCTGTGCATCCCCCGTCCCCTCCCCTCTGATCTCCCTCCACTCTGTCCATCCTGCAGACTCTCAGGGCTCTGGATGAGATGCTGGACACCTTGGTGTTCATCCACCCCACTGCAGGCATCGGAGAGGAGTTGAAAAACGCCTTCCAGGTGAGCTGTGCCCACAGGGGCCGCACGGTGGAGGGCTGTTCTTCCGCCATCCCCACCACCCCAAAAACCTTCTGGGGTGATCCGGGGGGGCACAGGGCAGAGACAGAGCTCCTCTTCCCACAGGTGCTGCTGCCCTTCACCTCCACTCAGAACTCAGCTGCGTGCCAGAGGGCAGTGGGACGCATCTGGAAGCTGTGCCATTCACTGGCGTATTACTGCCAGGAGAGGGTAAGGGCCCGACCCCCATGGCGTGGGGTCTTTGTCCCTCCTTGTCCCCGCTCTCCCCTCTCTGGGCGTGCGCTCAACGTTCTGCTCTCCACGCGCAGCCCCATCACTCCTCGGGACGATTCAGACCCATCTGCTATGACGAGTTCCGCCTGCCCGTGCTGGGGCAGCTGGTGGGAAGCCTCATCCTGTGCTGCGCCTGCCAGGAGGACAAAACGCACCGCTGTGCTTTGAGCGCTCTCCATCACCTCTACAAATTCATCCTGTGGAGAAGCCGTAAGAAAGCGGCCGCTGACTGCCTCCATCCATTGCAAAACGTCCCGCGGGGCCGAGCGTGGATGGCGCTGCGTCAGCTGCTGTTCCGAGCAGTGAAGAACCCCCCGGTGTTGGGGAGCTGTGCCCCACGGCCCTGCGCTCGGGGTGGGGGCGGCTGTGCAGCTCCCTGCAGGGCTCCCACCGCTCACACACCCTCGCCTCGCTTTCCTTTCCAGGCTGGGAAGTGCAGCCGGAAGAGCAGGGGAAGCAGGAGCAGTGGGAAGATGAGCACGAGTTCTCCCTCACCTGGACCACCAACACCTCGGAGATTTTGCTGGTGAGGAGAGATCGCCGTGCCGGGACTCGTGGCTGCAGGGTCTGTGGGGACGGGGCAACGTGGCTGACGTTCCTTCTCCCCTCTGTGTTTGTTCCTCCCCAGCGCTTTGCAAAGCACTTCCACTCTTGGGAGACAACTGACCTCATCCTCGTGATGCTGCAGGGCATGAAGGACTGCAGCAACTGCAACGCCCAGGCTGCTTCCAACTTGATGGGTGTGCTGACGGCTGACTTCAAGCCCACGCCCAACGATGTGAGCAACTGGCAGCTGCTTACTGGGGGACTGAGCCCATGGGGGTGGGGTTGAAGTGGAGGCTGGGGGTTGGGTTGAAGTTGGGTTGGGTTCTGGACTTTGGGTTTGGGTTGGATGGGTGCTGGGTGGTGAGGTGGGGTGGGGTGGGGTTGGGTTTGCTGGGGGTTGGGTTTGTGTTGGGTTGGGTCGTGATGCTTAGAGTGGGGTTGGGTTGGGTGCTGGAAGGCTGTGTTGGGTTGTCCTTTGAGATTTGAGACTTCAGGGCACTTGGCCCCTCTTGGGGACGTCTGGAGTGAAGTTTTGCTGTCCCCGTGACCCTTCCAGGTGCAGCGCATCGTGACAGCCATCCACAGGAGCAGGAAGCTGATCACAGAGGAAAAGGCACTGAAGCACATCCGTGACGTCTTCCCCAGGCTGGCTGCCGCCAGCCCTCATACAGTGACACTCAGCCTGCTGCGCTGCTCCCCCACCTGTGACAAGTGCGCTGCCCCCACCCCCTGCTGAGAGAGACCCCCACCCCACATGGACAGGGAACCCCATCCCAAACAAGAGAGGCCCCCACTCCACACGGAGAGGGAGATCACCCCCTGTGGGGAAGGATGCCCACCGCACGTGGATTGGGACCCTCACCCGATGCGGAGAGGGATCCCACACCTGGGGAGACCCTCACCCCACCCATAGAAGGACCCCCACCCTACGCAGAGAGAAACCCCCAGCCCACGCTTAGAGGGGCTCCCGCTGAGGATGGCTCTGTGCCGCAGGGACGCACGGGAGCTGTGGGAGTTGGCGCTGTCCTCAGAGGACGCGATGCCACAGATGATGCAGGAGCTGCTGCGTCTGCTGGAGATGGCGCCGCTGGGCCTGGAGACCGAGTCCAGCACCCTTAGCCTGGCCGTGAGTTTGGGGTCTCCCGGGAACGCTGCCTCCTCCCTGCCCCCAACCCAGGGGAGCAGCTCGGTGCTGAGCGCTGTGCGGGTGCTTTCCGCAGGCGGTGGCGGCGCTCTGTAAGCTCCTGCAGAACCTGGAGTACGGCCCGCAGGTGCAGCAGCTTTTCCCGGAGCTCTTTGTGGCTCTCGTCCTCCAGTTGGTGTCCTGTGAGGAGCTCTGTTCGCTGGAGGTCATCGCCATCACGGAGGAGCCGTTTGGCCCGGTTTCACTCACCTCTGCTGCCAGGTAGCACCACCGTGGCCCGGTGGCACCACTCACGCTGAGCCCTGGCCCCGCGCTGACCCCTGACCCTACGGTGCCCCATTTCCATGCAGGATGGTGGTGGAGACGTTGCGCCTTTTGCTGCTGTGCTCTGATATGGAGGACCTGGCGCTCTTCATGGAGACCTACAACCTGTGGGCGCGGCTGCCTGGCGCTGCCCAGTGGCAGAATGGCCTGTGCAACTTTGCCAAGTACGGCCCCAACCCCCTCCACGTGCTGCCCCACACTGCCTCACATGGTGCCCCATGCGCTGCCCCACATGCTGCCCTCTTGAGAGAAGTAGGGATCAAGTTGGCGAGTGCTCAGAGGTGCCAAGGCGTGGTGTGCAGATGGAGGAGCACACTGTGGGGCAGGATGAGCTGTTCCGGTCCCCCCCCCAGCCCGGACCTGGTGGGGTCAGCCCCCAACACGGGCTCAGCTCTCCCCCCATCCCACAGGGTGCTGATGAGGAGATGCCAGAGTCACTGCAGGCCCATCTTCATCCATCTGCAGAAGCTGCTGCAGTACCACCAGCTGCAGT